GGATTCAGATTGTAAAAATCGTCTTACGTTGTTAACAGCAGTAAGGGTTTTGTACCGAATCGTAATTAGCAATACAAATTCAAAAGATGATAACCATTTTTTTAAGGCTCTTGTATGGCTGAACTCACTGTTCAGATCCAGGTTTTCCATAGCGCGTTTTAGAGTTGCAAACATTTCTCCCAGCCATTTTGCAAGTGGTTGATTGCGTCAGAACCAGAGCTCCATCTTGTCATAGAAAGACTATGCGGTTCAGTGAGGATCTTCCATCATGCAGGACTTGCACTAACAAATACGTACACAAATTCGACATTTCTAAAGAATACTTTAATCTCAATAGCTGATTTAACTGCGTGCACACCAGAAAAATGGTGAAGGTGAGTACTACAGGAAACGTACAGAGCTTCAAGATAATTTTGCTTATTCAAAATAATTTTGCCTCATTAAGTCTTGAGCTCTCCTGTAAGCACCTGGTATATTGGATCCGTTATCGTAACTTTGACCGATATAGTTTTAAATACCCAAACCTAATTTTGCAATCACATCAGTGATAAGCTTGACAATATTGACTCCTTTCTTTTTCTCAAAAGCTTTAACACACAAGAACAGTTCTTTGGTTTACCAGCAATTTGTTGCTTATTCATAGAAGAAAAAACGAATAACCAACGTTATCAACTCAGTGTGAGACGTATCGAGGTATTATTGACTATTTAGATTTTTTTGACATCTGCACTTTGGATGACACTACCACATTCTCTAATGAACCCATTTTGAGATAACAGAGAGAGGTACAAATAAGTTCCATACCGGAAAGAAATTTTTATTTCTTTTTTTATTCACATGAGTTGTTTTATCTGCAGGCATAATTGTATGTAATAATTATAATTAAATTTTTTTTTTATTTGCATTCACTCCCAACAAGGCTGCAAGCAACCGCTATTAAGTTGGAAGTTACTAGGAAAAAAAAGAACAGAGTTATAGAGCAAGGAAACGGTTGACAGAAGACTTGAAAAGTTGAAGGTTGTATGAGTCAAGAAACATGAAGATGGGAGAGAGTTCCAAAAGATTGAAGTGCGGGGAAAAAACTAGATGAATAAAAGTTTTTATAGCATGCAGAGACAGATACAGTAAACGAATGAGACTTAGCTAAATGACGAGTAAAACGAGAATGAATTTTAGTTGATGGAACTAGAGATGATAACTCCTTTGAGCAGTGACCATGATAGTATTTGTAGAAAAGAGAAAAAGATGCAACTTCACGACCATGGGAAAGAGGCTCAAGCTTAGCAGATAGTCCAGGTCCAACACGATTTACAATGCTTTTTTGGACCTTGTCAAGAAGAGAAAGTGAATCGTTAGAAGAACCAGCCCAAATATGACAACAGTATTCCATACAAGGACGAATGAGAGATTTGTAGAGGTAGAGAATCGAATCAGAAGTAAGGAAATGGCGAGCACGATTAAGAGAAGCAACCTTAGCAGAAGCTAATTTAGCAATTGATTGTATATATGGTTTCCATGAAAGGTCAGTAGTAAGCGATAATCCAAGAAGACGTAAAGAGGAGGACTCAGTAAGAGGTTTGCCATTCATTAATATAGGAATGTTGATTATATTACGGTAGTTGTTTGCAGTAAACAACTGGGTTTTGTTAGAGTTGAAATTCACAAGCCACTGTGAACCCCAATCTATTACTGAAGTGAGATCGGATTCAAGATCAGCTGCTTGTTCTAGACGATCGAAAAGAGAAGAATTTTTGTCAAGACAGGAGTATAAACTTGAGTCATCAGCAAAAAGAGCTACTTTAGATGAAAGGTTGTCAGGAAGATCGTTTATGTAGATAAGAAACAAAACAGGGCCCAGGATGGAACCTTGGGGACACCCAGAAGTTACTGGAAATAAAGAAGAGTGTGGGCCTTCAAGGATGACTTTAATAAACCGGTTAGAAAGAAATGACTTGATAATCTCAAAAACTTTCCCAGAAACACCATATAAAGCAAGCTTATGGAGAAGACCAGCATGCCAAACTTTGTCGAAAGCTTTAGATATGTCGAGAGCAACAGCCCTAGCCTCACCGCCTCCATCTAATGCACAATAAAATCTTTCAGTTACAGCAGTTAGCAAGTCGGCCGTAGAGTAAGAGGATCGAAAACTGTATTGATTGTCTGACAGTAGTTTATTTGACTCAAGATGAGATGTGAGGAATTTGTTGATCAAAGACTCAAAGACCTTGCTAATAACAGAAAGAAGACTGATCGGACGATAATTGAAGGGGTCAGAATTTTCTCCAGAGATTTTGAATATTGGAACCACAGATGCCATTTTCCAACAAGCAAGAAAACAAGACTCAGTCAAACACTTGTTAACTAGTTTAGAGAGAATTGAAGAAAGTTCTGGAGAACAATTCTACAAGACTGTGACAGGAATATTTTCTGGACCACAAGCTGTAGACGAGTTTAATTGAGATATGACTTTAGCAACAGATGCCGGAGTGATTTGAATGTCTAACAATAAGTCAACCTTTTGACTGGAATGGAAGGAAGAGAATGTCCATAAGATTCAAGAGTGGAATTAGAAGAAAAGATCTACCTTTGTTAATAATGCTGCTGAAGATTTTCCAAAAGTCTTTAGAACCTAACTTCTGTGATAAGATGCAAGATTTAGTGAAATGAGAATAACGGAGTTTAGCATCAGAAAGCACCTTTTTACATCGATTTCTTGCAATAATAAATAGCCGTTTGTTCTCAAGATAGTTGTTCTTTTGAAAAAGATGAAAAAATGATTACGATTGGATATAGCAACCGCATAAGAAGGAGAAAACCATGGAGTAGAATGAGGCTTGACTTGAAACTGACGAGAAGGAATAAAAGCTTCCATTCCAGCCTGAATCCAGGAGGTTACGTAGGAGGCGCATTTATCAGGTGAGAGAGAAAAAACATCAGCCCAAGAACCATCACAAAGTAAATCACAAAAAGAATCTCAGTCAGCTTTAGGGTAGTAGTAGGTGGTGCGATGATAAGGTGAGCCCAAAAAATAAGTACGAGAAAAAAGATTTATAGAGATCATTGCATGGTCAGAACAACCTAAGGGAGAAAAGGGAGAAACTGAACATAAGCTAGGGTCAGAGACAAGACACAAGTCATGGAGTGAAGGTAAATTAGGGTTGTCAGGAAAACGAGTCACAAAGTTAACTATCTGAGTAAGATATTGAGAAACGCAGAATGTAAAGACTTTAGTGCCAGCAGGATCAGTGGTGTTAGAGCCAAGCCATTCAGTGTGATGGGCATTAAAATCACCAACAACAACAATATTGGCAGAGGGGTAAAGAGAGAGAGCATGATCAATTTGATCAGAGATAACATCTAAAAGAGTGCAATCATGGGAAGAAGGAGAACGATAAAGAACAAAGAGAAAGGTGTTAGAGTGAAGAGGTGCTAGACGAAAGCACATAAAGAATGGTCAAAGGATTCGAACCTGATTTCATGACAAATAGGGGAATTAATGTATACCCCTAAACCTATCATGTAACTATTGGAGTCTTTACGAATCAAAGGATAGTACCTATCAACACTGACATCTGAAGAAGGAATTGCAGAATTTAAATTTGTTTCACTGAGTGCAAGCAAGTCTGGTGAATTTTGCAGGAGGTAAGACTCAACTGACGGAAAGTTGCTTCGCAGACCGCGAATATTTGTAAAAGATATATTAAAACATTTAGGTGGTGGGGATGGTTTTTTAGGTTTAAAATTTTTGGTTACTTTGGTCATGATTTGGGTTTAATGAGAACTTGACTCATTCATAGATAGAGCACAGCCTCCTAATCAATGAGCTATGCAGTTGTCTCAGTCCTGTTAATTAACCCTAAGCCGTGACCATAGGGCTCCTTATGTGGCCTTGACAATGCACACCAAAAGCATTGACAGGGATACCATCCATGCGCAACATGGCACTGTTAATACTCTGATATTTTGCAGCTGTTGATGGAATCAGCCTCTCTGAGAGCTACCACAGAGTTTGGGAAACCTTACTACAAGCCGGCCTCAGAACCATTAAACCAAGTTTTAGAGCTGCATCCTCATATGGAGATAACAGGAAGAGTTGCATAGCCATTATCAAGGAGGCATAAGCAAAATTCTATGAGTAGAGTCAAGAAGATCCAGCATTCATCATCCTAGGCAGGAAGCAATGTAACACAGGTTACACCTACGCCAGCCTAATAGATGAAGAAGGGGTTCGAGGCTGGTTAGCAGAATTTTCTGCTTACCCCTAAAATCTTTGCCTAGGAGGCCTTCTACAAGACAGTAGCTGGATGCAGTTAACATCTGCTCAAGTTGAGTGTTTTTATCAAAACACCATCTCTAGCCTTTACTCAACCAAAAGCCCCAAGTCAGGGGAATTTTTAGTCGGAGTTTATTTCTCCTAGCCTTTGCCTAAGAAGAAAATTATCACAATAACTGTATAAATATTTAAAATTGATACTGAGCGAACTTTATAAAAGCTAAATTCCTAGAAGCCAAGAAAAGAGTCGCATCCAAAATTCCACCTAGAACTGTCTTCTATTTTAGCTGTCTCAGAATTAATTTGCTTCTGAAGCTCTGAATCTATACCAGTGGAGCTGGTAAGACGAATTTATGCCTCTTTCTAGAAATTTTGGTGCAATGGGCTGGATTGATGCTGAATTACACGGTCTACGAGTTTTCTTCATTGAACATGAGCTTTTCCGTTCGCTCAGGGAAGGGAAGATTCCTTGCTTTTGAATTCTGCTTTTGTGTCCAAAAAAAGAGAGAGCAAGGGAAACAGTAGAGAGCTTTAGTCGTCGAGCTCCAAACTAAAAAATCTCTTTCTAGTTTTTTCTTATTAAGCATAGAGTGATAAAATACATTTAAATGAAAGATTCTCTTTTTAGAATCACGCGGATAATCTCTTTGCTTCAAAGAGTGTAAAAGGGGTCTCTTTAAAATTATTACATTTTGATCTTTTTGACTCAAAACAACTTGCAACAAAGAGGGGTTAGCATTATTTATTACCAAGCTTGGTCAGCATTGATTATTACCACATTACACATTACATTTGCCTCTGTTGGATAAAGTTCTTCCTTTGACTCTGATGAGTCACTTTTGAGAATTTAATTTGGCTAAGCTTCAGGTGAATTGATTTAAACCCCCTCTGTTCCACAGTCCTTCGAATCATACATATTGAACGCAACAGGTTACAAACTTACAGGAGGGTTTAACTGGATGTTTGGAGAGGAGCCACTATATTTTGTCCGTGTTATGGTTATAAATCCCTTATAAAGTCTTTTTTCTACTTCTTTTGCTGCTTTTTTAGTAGCTTTGGCACGGTTTTGAGCACTGGAAGATTTCTTTCGACCCTTTTTTTAAAAAACCTAAAGTGTTTTGTAATTTATAATTAGTTTATAAACAAAGGTTTGATTATCATATATCCGCATTTATACATATCGAAAGTTTTACTCGAAAAACACTATTTTTTTAAACAGAATATTCGGATAAAAGAACATGAATTAGTTGTATTTTACTTACGGATTTGTTATTTTTGTTGTTTTATACTGAATATATTGCTTTCTGTTTGATAAATAATCTTTAAACCAAAGTAAGTTGTTATTTTTTACCCCATACACTTCAAGTTTTTTTTTGAAGGATGTTGTGATTCACGGTGTCAAAAGCTTTAGAAAGATCAATAAAAACTCCGAACGTAAAACAATTATTACTAAAAGCATTAAATATATGACTAACTAGCTCAATTATAACTTGAATGGTTGAGTGGTTTTTTTTAAATCCAATTTGTTTACAGTAAAAAAAATTGTTTTCCGTCAAATAATTCTAAAGTCTATTATACATGACGCATTCTAGTAATTCGGAAAAACATCATAAAACTGATATAGGTCTATAATTATTAGTATCAAAATCATTTCCAAGTTTAAAAATAGGGGTAACTTGGGCCATTTTTAGTTTATCTGAGACAACGCCTGATGACGGTTCAATGATATCAAATACTGATTTTACGACAAAGCTACTGATACTATCAAAACCCGCACTTTTGTTGCTTTTTAGAGTATTTAAAGCGGATCGCAATTCATTAGAATCTAGATTTGTTTCTTTCGTAATCTTTTTTGAGGCAAGGTTCTTAATCAATTAAGAATGATATTTTTCAGAACTCGACGGAATTTCTGCTGCTAATTTTTGACCCACATTAAGAAAAAAGCTATTTAGATATTCAGTAATTATTATCTTATCACTGACTAACTTACCAGTTTAGTTTTATTACCAACGAGTTTTTTTTTTTTTTTTTTGAGGATTTAATTAAACCTATAGACATCCAAGGATCTAAAAATAATATATATAATATCCTTTTTAAATTATCACCCAACTTATTTAACCGTCAATTGTCAACTATAAAACAAATTAAAAGTCATTATTTATTATGAAATAATTTTAACCAAATACTTATTCAATCAACATCAACACTTATCCTAACCGTAAACCAAAAGCCTCACTTTAGCAAGTTTCACTTACACGTCGAATTGAAATTTCAATATTTCCGTCAATGATTTAAACAAAAATTTTTTTTTTTCTTTTTAGTTTTAAAGTAAAAATTTCGTCTACTTTAAAACCGATGGAAAAACTCAAATACTTGATAAATGACCAGGTCCTAGAGAGACAAGATGGCTTATTTACCCAAAAATACTATGCAATAATTCTCTTTCTTTCCAAAAATACTATGCAATAATTCTCTTTCTTGATTCAACAGTCAAATACTACTTAAAAAAGAAGCGCTGTTATCCTAAAATTGATAATGAATTTCGTTGAGAACATTGAAAGAACGAGTCTCTCTCGCTTTAACTTCTTTAACACCCACGTTGCTCAACAATAAAACGCACTGCCTAACAAAGTTGTCAGTGCTAACAGTGTTGACAGCTTCAAAGTGAAATTTGATCATCTACCATTATAATTACCACAATGCATCATCTTCCTCGCAGTTGAGAACAAGCTAGCATGGCTAACTGTTCATGAGTATAGAGAATATACTCAATACCGTTTAATTCAACTTCAACTAAATCCTACCTTTTTTGTATAAAAAAGTTTATAATTAATCATAATAATAGAACTTCTAAATTAAACTTTTTTATGTGTGTTTTTATTTCAAAACTAAGCAGATTTCACACTGTCATTCATTAAAATGTTTTCTATTTATTGTAAAAAAAAGGAGAAGAAGAACCAACAAGTTGTCCGGCGCCCCTTAGCGCCCGTGTCAGTTTGCCCCCTTTGCCCCTCCCTCTCAAAGGCTCTGTATAAACTGGCAGAAAAGTAAATTTCAATCATAGTGCTTGTTTTCAATAATATGTATAGTGTAAATATATTTTTAAATAACCAAATAATTGCAATGATAAATATTTGTTTTTTTAACAATTGTTGTTAACCAAAGTAATTTTTCTAGTCCTTTCTAGGCAAAAAACAGATACGCCACCCCTCCCCCGCCTTTAGGATCTCTTCGGGACCCTTTTTGCCTTTTGCTCGTTCGCCAGGCCCCTTCTTTACAAAAACGCTGAATCTCGGCTGCGGAATAAAATTTTCAGAGTTTTTATTTATATCTAACTATTACTTTTTGCCATTTAAAAAAAAAAAACTAAATTTTTTCGTAACGTAATAAGAGTTATTATTAATAATCTTTGTTTATTTTAACTTTTTTGGTTTTACGTTTATAAAAGGTTTGTTCTTATTTATTTTGTTATATGTTAGTTTTTATGCAATTTACGTCGACGCCTCTATAAATTGGGATGAAAAGCTCCTAGGATGAAAGTGATCTTTCACCAAATATATAGATTTTATATTTTGTATTTCTGTAAAATTATACTATATTTTTATTTTTGTGAAATCTTTGTTTATACTTATTCTAGGTTCAAACGACAAGATCTTTGTGATCTTCTATCAGACAAATTGTGAGATTAAAAAAATTCAATTCTGATGTTTTACAAAAGAAATTCCAGAGTTTTATATCGTTGGTAATAAAAAACTCACTAATTTTTTTTTTTATAATGTCATGTGAAAACACTTTTGTTTTTTCGTTCAGGGAGATGTTTTTTTTTGTTTTTGTTTTTGTTTCATTACCAATATTTAATTGGTTTAATATAGTTTTTTATACAAAGAGTTCTGTTGGAAAAATAATACATTTCACGTTCAATTTTTTTTTGGTTTTAAAATACACAGTTTTGATGTTTCAAAAAACTTTTAAATGATAATTTCATTACAAATCGACCATTTAATTAATAACTCCATGTTGATTTCTATTTTATTAAGGGTAATATCAAGATTTTTAAAATTGATATTAGTGATCACTTTCCAATATAGGTTAATATAAATGGTTTTAAAGAAACAAATGAAGGGAACCCTAAAATTAAAACTCTTAAAAAGCGATCTATCAACTTTAGTTCCATCAACCGAAATTCGTTTTTGTTTGACTTGGCAATCAACAAACTTATATTTTACTGTAATTTTCTATTTATTTTGTAAAATATATTATTCTTCTAAATTCTTTTCTTGCACATCAATGCTTTGGAGCTCTCATCCATCTTTTTTCTTTTCCGACTTATTTAGCATAGAGTTTTTTTAAGTTTTCTGTCAACCGTTTTCTCGCTCTTAAACAATACTGTTTGTTTTCTGGTTACTTTAACTTAAATAGTAGTTGTATGAAATCTTGTTGGGATTAAATTAGCTTAAAATAAAGTGCATTTTTGTTTTTATTTTTTGCTGTCCACTATGAATTAAGTACAGGCTTCTATTTAAATCGTATTGGAAATCTTTTCTATGATGAACTTTCAAACTTGGATCAATTCAACTTTCACTTCATCAGGAAGAAAAGTTACTTTTCGAAAATCTTTTCACCTTTTTTAAGAGACTTGGTAAAATTTGATGCACTTTCTTATCATCAGTAACAATCAAGTTTTGAAACAAATTCACACCAGCTGCTATGACAACATCAAGTAAAGCTTACAATTGAAAAATTTTTAATTTTCAAAAAAATTTCCAATTAAACAACCTATTATGCAATAGGGTACGTATTGCTTTCGACACACATATATTGAACAAATTAAAACTAAGGATTCTGGGATCAAAATGCGAACAAACAATTCAAAAATGTATTTAAACAAAAATACATGTTATTCAGTTTTTAATACAAACTCTCAACAACTTTTTGAATTCTTGTTTAGTGTTTGTAAATTTTTACGAACTGATTCCAATGAAAGTTTTTATTTTTCACCAATTAGTTTAAATTTGAGATTTTAAGGCCTGATTACTCCAAGTTTTTATTTGATATCAGTAGATAGCTTTCTTTGTCAATAAGTGAAATTTAATAAACAAATGAATTTAATAAATCTTTATAAGCTTTGGGTAGGAATATTTTCCAAAAGTTAACTCACTACCTTTTCTTTGCACCTGAGAGTAAACGCTTAAAAAAAAAGAATTCGGCTAGGTCAGAAAGATATTAGGCAGCTCTCTAAACATTGACTATTAAAATGATATTTTAAAAAAAAAATTGTTAAAAATATATTTAGTTAATATGTATATAAACTTCTTTTTAAAAGTTGCAACCAAATAAAATTAGTACATAATTACAAAAATGTTTATGAATAAGTTTTAATCTATAACGAAGTAAAATGAAAAAACTTAACGACGAACTATATGCTGCGGATGTACTTGACAAACCATTCCGGAATGTTATCCACAAGCGTACTGGCAAAATCTGCTGCATTGGTGTTCAAAAGTCAAATAAACAACATATATATGTCTTCACCTCCCCAGCAAGTACCTTTGCACAGCACCGCAAACGTCTCCTTTTAATCGCGCAAGCTGCAACCACATAATATAAACCCAATCTCACAAACCAAACCAAAACGTAAACAACATTCGCCAAACAACTCATTACAAGACCTGCAGTCACAGACTACTTTGCAACATTCAAAGTTACCTTTGATAAACTTCTTCCGCTTCTCTGCCAATAACCCATGCTCATTATACAGCAAAAAACTCCATGAACTTGTAGCAAGACTTACTTTTATTGACAAATCTGAATGGCCACACGTAATATTCTTTTCTGAAACCTGGTTCAGTGCTACGTCAGACGCCACTACCATTGTTGGTTATCAGCTGCATAGCACAGACCGTGATGGTAGAGGGGCAGTGTTACAATCTACATCATAGATAGACTCGCTAACGGCGAGGTTACCGACGTCACACTCATCTCAACATCCGTGGAACAAATCTAGCACATAATGCATTTTGAAAAAGAATCAATACTTTTAGGTTGTATGTATCGCCCAATAGATAAAAACAATGACACGCTCACTCAGATTCTTGTATCTATTAAAGCAGCGCAAAAGATATTGCCGAAAATAAAGTGTTCAACAATCCTTTTATATGGTGATTTTAATTTTAGCCACACCAGTTATAAATCATCCAATGTTGGTGGTGGTGTAGAAACAACCGCTCAAACAACTGAATAACGTTTCGGTGACATCAAATTCCAAGAGTGTCTTGAAGACTGCTATTTAACTCAACTAGTAATATTCTCAACATACCAAGTAGCTCGCTTAATCTCATCATCACAAATATTTCTGATCGCCTAATCTCAATAAACAAAGGAAACTCACTTGGACATAAACCAATGGGAAGAACTCACTGTCTTTTAGTCGATCTTTTTGCAGCATACTTCAAAAAAACAAACTAACATCTCCTAGTTGCCAACAGCTTATCTGGAGTAAATCAAATTTCGATGCAATTTCATTACATATAACTTCTAAAGTAATACCAACCAAACTCTCTGTAAACGATCTGTACAGTTGGTTTATTGACGTATACAACGTACCTGTAAAACTACACATTCCATCAACTACGACTCGATTTAAAACTAAGCAAGATCTTTGGGTCACACCAAAAGTATTGGAAGCATTAAAATTAAAACGTACAACTTGGGTAAAATACCATGAAGAATTACGTAATGAACATCAGGCTGCATGCAAACACGTGAAAAAGGTCAATGCGGCTGTCCTTCATTACAAACAACAAATAGTAAGTTTCAAGGAATTCCCAAAATGTTTTTACTCACACGTAAAAAACAAGCTTAAGGTACATAATCACATTAGTATGCGCTGGTAACATCACCTAAGTTTATAAGTTCGACGATAAACGATTATTTTCATTCAGTTTTTGTCGAAGAACCCTTAACATCTTTACCAATATTTAAAGAGAGAGAACAAAATCAACTTGCGATATTGATGAAAGTTTGTTTACAGCTGCTACAGTACAAAACTACTTGTTCTGCCTTGACATAACTAAATCGATGGGAGTGGACGGAGTATATCCTCGTGTTTTAAAAAACTGCTCAAAATCTTTTGCAATATCTTTTTCACTCATTTTCATGCAAACCTTTTGAACTGGAATTGTCCCAGATCTTTGAAGTAAATCAAATGTTACTCTTATTTTCAAAAAAGAAAACAAACTCAAGGCTTGTAATTACAGGCCGGTATCTCTCACCTCTCCCTACCGCGCAAGGTAGAGAATTATAAAAGAGAGGATTATGAAAAACTGTACACTACACAATCTTATTTCAAAGTCTCAACATAAAAGCTACCTAAAACAGTTTTATTTTATTAGGTTTTAATAACTTTAACAATTTAATTTTATTAGGTCAGCTATTCCACTGGATCTCTGCTTGGCTAAGTGAAAGAAAGCCACGTGAAGTTATTGGGGAACAAACTTCCAAGTTTAAAAGAGTGACAATTGGAGTCCCTCAAGGATCAGTACTAAAATAGTGGCAAGTGGAGTCCCTCAAAGATCAGTACTTGGACCACTGCTATTTGTGCTCTTTGTCAATGAGTATCCAGAAGGCATTAGCAATTATATTAAGTTATACGCCGATGATAGCAAAGATCATAAGAATTATAAATAATAATCAATCATCCTCTGATTAATGAAACACTGCAAACGGACATTGACATCTCTGTAAGTCGGTCACATAACTGGCTAATTCACTTCAATATCGAGAAGTGCAAAGTAATGCACGTTGGTTGTCGCAAAAATAAATTAACACATATCTATACCATGGCTAAAATTAACGATAACCAATATAATCTCCAACATGCATTGAGTGCGACCTTGGGGTACTAATATCCGACAACTTTAAAGTGAAAGCACAAGTAGAAGCAGCAGCAGCTTCGGCCAGAAATCGAATGCTTTGTTGCCTCAAAAAGACATTTCGATGCCATAGCCTCCAGCTTTGGACAAAATTGTACCAGCTATACGTTTGAACACATCTAGGGTTTTGTGTACAAGCCTTGTCTCCATACCCAGCTAGCACACATATGTTGTTGAAACAAATTTTATACATTGGCCCAACGTTGTATTTACGTTGATTTAACGTTGAACTTTAATTGGCAAAACGTTGTATTCAATGCTATTCGGAATAAAATTTTCATTAAATTTTAATTTATATATATATATATATATATATATATATATATATATATATATATATATATATATATATATATATATATATATATATACATATATTGTAGGTTTTGCGGTCTGTCCTCCGACATTATTTCCTTATATGAGATTGAAAAACGCTTGATCATTTGAACAAAAATCATGTTTGTATTGATTGTGTTTTGATATTTTAATAATTAAGGAAGATTTTATTTATGTTAGATAATTTTGCAATAGCAATGTTTGGTCACATACATTGGATCAACGTTGGGTTTATTTCATAAAAACAATTAACTTTTGCGATGTATTTAAATACATTTGATTAACGTTGATCAAATGTATTTAAATACATCAACTTCGAAATTAATACATTGAATCAACGTTGGGTTTAAATTGTAAAAACAATCAATTTTTTGCGATGTTTTTACATACATTGGAAAAACGTTGATTTATATATATTGAATCAATGTCGAGATATATACATTCAGGGCCGGCGCGAGTAGGTGTCACGTGGGGGTCAACTTTTGCCGACTAAAAAAAAAAAAAAAAAAAAAAAAAAAACTGTCATGACGACATTTGCCGACTGTCTAACCTATATCGAAAGGGGGTCCACATTTGCCGACTAACTAGGTCCAATTTGCCGACTAAGGGTCCAATTTGCCGACTAAGGGTCCAGTTTGCCGACTAAAAATCATTGATGGGGGGAGGGGTGTCACACACACCCTCCCCCCTCCCCACACCCCCCTATCGCGCCGGCCTTGTATACATTGGATCAACATTGGATTTAGATCGTAAAAACAATCAACTCTTTGCGATGTTTTTACATACATCGGACCAATGTAAATTTGCCAGATGTTTTTAGTTCCGTCGGTAATAATTCTATCATTAATCAAATAACATTGGATCAACGTTGCTTTTGCATTGGAAAAAAGAGCCGACGTTCGCGATGGTTTTACATATGTTGGCCCAATGTAAGTGTGCTAGCTGGGTATCTTAAATCGGAAATCGTCCTTCTCGAATGTGTGCAAAAACGTGCAACAAAAACTATATCGTTGATTAAACATTTTAATTACGAAAAAAGACTACAAATACTTGGTATACTGCAATACAAAATCGCTCATCAGTTACAAAGAAGTTGAATTTTACATACCACAGATACAGCCTTTCTTATTAAATTCACGATATAATCTGAAAAGAAACAGCCATTTTTCAAAACCACACTGATCAAAAGTTATTCAGAACGTCAGCACTTCTTTACAAACCGTGTTACTAACCGATGGAAAAAAATAGCTCAGTATGTAGTTGATGCACCCACAGTGCATTTAAAAAAAAAAACACGTTTAAGATGCTGCTTCGGCTGCAGCAACTTCTATCGTCAGCATAGGAAAGCCTGGTGTGCTTCTCTTCATTAATTGTAAACTTCATGTGTGGAAGTTGTATTGATTACTGTAATGAATAAATTAAAAATTAAAAAAAAAAAAAACTTTATATTTCTTATTATTATTCCAATATATGATTTTTATAGACTAATTTAAAACGTTAAGAAATTAAAATGTTGTAAAATTGTCTTACTGCTCTCATATTTCATTTTTATATAACTTTTTACATTTTCACCAGTATTTGAAAAATAAAATATTGCCATTTTTGTGGTAAGATTAATATAATGAGCTCAAAAATCACTGTAGGGTAAATATTATATCAGTTTTGGAGTGCTAGGGGTCTCTAGACTATATTTACAAAAATAAATTACTATAATATAAAAGTTAGTTTTGAAGGGTTTTGCTCTCATCTGGCTCACTGTGCAATGTTAGCTTTAATGACGTCAAGTTAAGTAACACTTCAATTGCAAGCAAACAATAATTAACCAAAACCACAAAGTTTTATTTGAAAAAAAATTCTAAAACGTCATTTAAATGTTACAGGGTTTATGCGAAATATAAAACATTTTTTAAGAAAATATAAAACGTTTTTTAAGAAAATATAAAACATTTTTAAAGAAAATATAAAACATTTTTTAAGAAAATACAAAACATTTTTTAAGAAAATATAAAACATTTTTTAAGAAAATATAAAACATTTTTACAGAAAATATAAAACAAATTTTATACTAAGATAAAACATTTAATTAGGTAATTAAATGTTTAATATTTTAACATAAAATATTCAATTACGTAATTACTCTATACTATGGAACTTATGTGGTTTATTCACAACAAAGAAAGAGATCTGTAAAAATATATTATTCAAGCTTTATTTTGTTGTTTTAAAATAAATGGAAAACAAGAGACAAAGAAAAAACAGAACACTTATTACAAAGGATATTGTAAAAACAATAAGAAAGTCAATTCTTAAAGAAATGAAGTTAAAAGAAATTGCGGAAGAAGTTGAAATATCAGTTTCTGCAACACGTTCTATTTCTGATAAAATTTGTAAAGGACTTAGTGATGATGAAATCGCATCAGTAAAAAAAGGAAGGCGCAGCTCTTATGACGAGACACTTAAATCTGAAATTCGAATGTTAATTGAGCATGACCCATCTCATACGTTAGCATCATTGAGAAACATTCTCGTTGAAAGGAATATTAATGCATCTATACCAACAATATCTAAATATTTGAAGTCAATTGAGTTAACTAGAAAACGACTTACATTAGTACCAAAAGAAAGGAACTCGCCGCAAAACATTGATTTAAGACAAAGTTTTTGCAGGACTATTAATTCGATTCCTGACAATAACTTAGTGTTTCTAGATGAAACAGGCTTTAATTTACATACTTCTAAACAGTATGGTTATTCTATAAAGAATACAAAATGTTTTGTTACAGTGCCAGCAAATCGTGGAAAGAATGTAAGTCTCATGGCCGCTATAACAGTTAATGGTATTTTAAGCTTTAAGATAGTGGATGGTGCCTATAATGGCAATCTTTTTAGCGATTTTATAACCAACAATTTAAGACCGTATTTCCAAACGTATCCCCATTCTGTACTAGTATTGGATAATTTTGCATTTCACCGTAGAAGAGATGTAATCAATTTGCTTAGTCAATCCAGTGTTTCAGTTTACTTTTTGCCACCTTATTCACCACAATTGAACCCGATTGAGGAATACTTTAGTTGTCTTAAAGCTAATTATACTTCTATAAGGCCGTTTCCAAAAACTAGCAATGAAGTTAAGGCTACTTTAAATTCGCTTATACCGACAATTGGCGTTGATTTTTGTGGTTGGTTTGATAATATGAGAAGATGGGTTTTGAAAGGCATAGCAAGACAAGAATTTTACTAATTTTGCTTTTTATATTATATCTTTAAGTATAATGAGTTATAATTATATAAAAGATACTCTTTATTCTTTAGAAATTTATGAATAACTTTATGTATCATAATTGCACTATTGATTCAACTACAATGTTTTATATTTTCTTAAAAAATGTTTTATATTTTCTTAAAAAATGTTTTATATTTTCTTAAAAAATGTTTTATATTTTCTTAAAAAATGTTTTATATTTCGCATAAACCCTGTAAGTAATTTCTATAAAAAGGTTTTTTATAGAAATTAAGTCATAGTCATAGTTAAAGAAGATAAAACAACAATACAAGCTACCACATAAAGTTTCAATAAAATATAGTAATATATTCATAACATAAAACTACTGTTAGAAAGTTAAATAAGCTTAACAACTTTGCCATAACTTTGAAATCTTATTGAAAAGTATTTCATATTTTTTGGCCTCGATAAGCAATACTTAGTACAGTATTGCATTTAGTATAATTATTAAATTTATGAAATATTTTGCTCTAAAAAAATAGTTTTCATCTGTATTTATTTTAAATTTATTATTAAAGTTAATAGTAGAGATATTATTGTTGAATCGATGCATAAAAATTAAATACTGATAGATATTCAATTTAAATACATCAATTAATTTCGTATCTCTTGTTAAAGTTTACCTTTTTTACACTTCACTTAGAGTATCTAACTCTGCACGCACGATTTTGTAAACTATAGATATTTTTTTATGCTTTGATAATTGGGTATTTGCTTATGATGTGTTTGAATATCTGATGAAGCAATGACTAACCCAAAAATATATTAGTTTAAGACGTTGTTTTTTGACGCATGAATGAACTCGATGAATTATATCAACAATTCTAATGATTTTAAACTGGATTTTATTTGAGGAAGCCAGGATAAATCTTTATCAATAAGAGTTCCCGAAACTTTTATACTGACTCTATAAATTTATCATTTATGATAAGGTCATTCAACTTTTAAGGAAGGTTTTCTTCTTCATATTATTATTTTTTTCATTTATGAAACAATTTACAGTTCGCTTTACATTAGATAAGATCATTCAACTTTGAGGAAAGTTTTCTTCTTCTTTTTTTTTTTTTTTATGAAACAGTTTATAGCTTGTTTTTTACCGTAAGTGAGAGATAGTAAACTTTAAATCAAGTATATACTTTATTTAGTTCAATATTTATATCATCGTATAATTTCTTGATATTATTGTTGTAAGAAATAAATTTGTTTAATCAGCAAACATGACTGAATTCTCTTTTAAGGATGCTTTATAAAATCATTTATGTAAGTTAAAAATGTTTTTTTAATTTATATAAACGGTTTTTTAATTCTTTTTTATTATGTATATATAGGTAAAATAGCTTTTAATCCAAAAAAAAATTTCAATTTCATAGTGCTTTAGTTTATCTAATAAAAATTCAATAAATGTTCCTAAAATAAACTTGTTTATTTTAAAACGATTAGTTAACCTTATTGACTATTTGAATAATTGCGTACTTAGTTGAAAGATTTTTTTGAAATCCAAATTGATTTAGATGAAATTGTTTTTAGTAAAGTGATCATAGATGCTATTATAAACTACACGTTCGAAGAGTTTTGAAAATACAGAAAAAATTAATATAGGTCTGTAGTTATTAATTTCTAAATGATCATACAATACACATATGGGAATAAATTTTGGTTATTTTAATACATTAAAAAAAATCCAGAAGGATTTTTTCTGATGTACTATATTTGGAGCTTAAGTGAATGGATCAGAGGATGGTTTTAACTGATTTTGTTTGCTATAACTATGTCACTATATATATTTGATTAAACCCTGGTGCCTTTTTTATTTTTGAAAGGAAAAAACTTTAACAAATTCTTTATAGTTTAATTCATTCCATGAGTAAATAATAAGTTCGTAAAAGATAGATTATTTGCCAATTTTAGGTAGTTTTTAAATGAACTGGATGATGAACTATTTTACTTGTAAGATTTGGACCAATATTTATGAAATACTTATTAAATTTTTGTTTTTTATAAAATATGCCAATGTCGTTGAAATATTTTTTTTTTAGGCAGAGATGGTGACTTTATTTTTTCTCTTTCCATTTTGTCATGACGGATCAAGTTTTCTTATAATTAAAAAGTTTGAATACTGCAATATTCTTTTAATGTTTTAAATGTAAAATTGTATATTGTTTTAAAAACTGAACTTTATAAGCTTGGTTTCTTTCGTAAAACACGAACTACTTCGACATTCCCCAATAAGAAAAATGACGTCGGAACAACGTTGTTCTAACGTCTTTCGTATCGTTGGAAAGACGTTGGCATGATGTTATAAATGAAACACCGAAAAAACGTCATTTTACTATAGTCAATAGAAATCCTGGTCTGGAAAAGCTATTGTTTCAATCTTATTTTAAAACCGTATCTTGAAAAGTGCGTAAAAAGTAGTCACGTGATCAAATCTAGTGCAAAACAAATTTTTAAATGGCGTTTTCTGAAGAACTTTTTACAGGCGAAACGCTTGATTATATAATAAATATTAATGCTGATGATGAATTAAATCCAGATTTGCAAGAATATTTTGATAATGCATTATTAGAGGTAATAATAATTTTTAAATTTTAATTAGAATGGTTTATTTTGGTGTAAAGGTTAACGCAAATGATTAAGTTAAATTAAAAAAACATTTTTAAAAGTTATTGTATCCTAATATTTACTGTTGATAATCGTACTAAAATAATATATATATAATAAATGCTATTTTTAATATATATTAGGTAACCGATATTGGAGACTTCAAGTGCAAAATTTGCAAATCCAAAACGTATAAAACAAAAGGAGGCTTAGCACGACACAATAAAAACAAACATACCATAAAGAGTCTTACAGATATGCATTATAATGATTTTGTCACAGATATAAAAAAAATTGTTGCAGAAACTAAAGCTGATTTGTCAACAAATAAATGTTATCCTCAAGAAGTTATTTCAGAAATAAAAGACTTTGAAATAAAAATAACAGAAAACTTTTTTGATGAAATAAGAAAAATGTCAAAAAAATTAAAATCATCTGGAAATGCTGAAAAGTATTATTCCAACTTTTATAGCAATATTGTTCTCTTTTCAGACACATATTTTAATCTAAAGAAACCTGCATCAACAGTATTTACAACAAAGTTATGCAATAAATTATTTCAGCATTTTCAAAGCTCTCCTTCAAAGAATGTTGAAGTTGAAGAAATTTCACCACGTGAAGTGGATGGATTAAAATATTTGTCTGGGTATGTTATAAGAAATCTACTTAAAAAGGCAAAAACAACAAAAAATTACAAAAGCCAGTACAATCAAGCTATAATTGCATTATTACTTCAAACAACTAAAGAAGTTTCAAGTTCAGAAAAGTTAATAAATACCCAAAACAGAGGGGGTTTAACAGCAGTATGTGAAGAATGCTATCAGATTTTCTTGCTAGCTGAGAAACATTTTAGACAAGAAACTGCAGTTGCTAACCTCCGAAATATTGAAAGTAAGAATTTAACAAAACACCTATTAAAGGATCCTAATATTATAAGTTTTTACAATGCAATCGTGCATGATGTGAAATTCGTGTCTATTGATAAGGAAATTAAGCTTAACTTGTTAGAAAAAATGATAGAACTTTATTTTAGAGTTCGTACATTTTCATTGGCTAAAAATATAACTGCAAAAAACAATGATCAAAGTTTTAAAGTAAAATCTTTAAGAAAAAGTATAAAACGTAAATCAAACAATAAATAAAGACTTAAACTTTAAACTTAATACAAATAATTGATATATTTTGTTATATGCTATGTTTATATTTAGATTATATTTATAGGTTTTTTTTTCGTTTTGGTAACTTTTCATTATCAACAACACTCCAAGATACTTCACGTTTTTGACCATGACCACCTTTAGTATTTCCAGTAACCGGCGCAATTGATCTTTGCAATCGCAAGGTATTTGACTGGTAACCAAATTGATATAGTGTAGGGTTGCCATTTCTTCGACCTAAACTCCGTTGTCTACCAAAGTATTCCTCCAAAACGTCTTGATTGAATTTTTCAGTCAAAACAAACGGCATACCACTTTTTAATAAAAATTTTACCAATTCGATAACAGACATTACAGTTATTTGAAGTCCTTCGTATGTTTGCCAAGAGATAAACATTCTTCCTTTTGCATTGTTGGAAAAGTTACCAGGACGATTAATAATACACTCTTTCCATTTTTCTAGATAGCATAAAAATGTATTCTGTAGCCATGTCAAACGCTCGTCATTAACATCCGTGTATGGTAATAAAAATGGTTTGCGTTTCATTATCCCTTCACTGCTGTTTCGCACATTTAAGCAATCAAAAAAACTATCTAACATTTCACAAAATTTTGCAGTTCCATTTGTATCATCAGGGTAATAATTTTTTAAAATGTTACTGACACTACTACTTAAAACCTGGGCTGCAAGTCTTACATTCATAACAGAATAAGCACTAAGTTTAATATGATCCTGTGTTAACTTTGGTATAATTTTTAACCCATTTTTCATTTCGTCATTGACTATTCTTGTGATATGGTACCAAATCAATTGTTGTCCATCATTCCAAAGACTTCGTGTACCCCTTCCATCCCCTGAAATAAAAAAAGATTGAATCTTAATATAACACAAAATTATTGCCTACAATTCAACTCTCAATCTAGGGAGGTTTAAAACATTGCATAGCCCTTCTAATCTTAGCTAAATAAGTAAGCATTTCATACTTTTTAATATAAAAATCTGTTATTTTATTATTACTTTCCAGCAAGAAATAACCATAACCTGATAATTTTCTACTGGAAAGGCCTGTAAACCAATACACTTTAAATATAATTTACATACCTGAGTGATATAAACAGTTCCTTGCTGTTTTGATGAGATGGGGAGCATCAGCAAAAAACCATAAGTACCGTTCAGGGGCATAAATATTAATGCATCGATGAACAACATTACAATCTAATTTGTCATCAAACATACTATGCATTCGATAGAACTTTCTGTTTGGTGCTGCACCATCCGATACTGCAGCTATAACATATAATTTACATGTCAGTTCTAAAACTCCAACTGCTTCCCAGAAAGTTGGCATTAGTTGAAACGAGGTGAGACCTTTAGTAGCAAAGTGACATAAAGCAAACTTTAAGTCAGAAGCAATACCTTGAATGAAGTAGACTAGAACATGGCTTGCTAAAGAATCTTCCTTTTGAAAAGTAGAATATAAATCAGGTTTACCTAAATCTACAAAACCTATAATGTCACCTGTGTGTTTATTAAAAACAAGTTTTTCTTGTATTTTTACTTCATCAAAAGATAACCTTACATATCGTTGGTAGCCAACTAGGTTAATACTAATTTTATTCAATTCTTCAATTACGGGAGGATTTAATCCAGCTTTCGGTCGAATGAAATTCTTATAATCTCTTAGAGTTCTGCGACTTGGTAATGTTAGTACATTTGATGAGCGCAACTCATCATAAGCTGAGGCCGACTTTGAGGCAAGTGAGAGGCAAAACCGTATTATCATAGGGTGATACTTTATTTAGCCAAAATTTTTATTACACATTTTCTTTTGCTGGTCCCAAAATAATTTCATAAAGGGAGTAGCTTTTTCGTAGTTACTACTCATTATTTGATTTAAATCATCAACAAACCCATCATCAATAGTAATACCTTCAGAGTCAATTTGAAAATTTATTTTTTCTAAATCACTTGTTAGCTGGGCACATCTTAGACGTTCTTGTTTTAATGCTAATAGAACGCGAACAGGATTTGTTTTACTAAGTGGAGCTTTTCGAAGAGCAGGTGTGGCTAACTGATGTTGTTTTTTTATTTTAATCATTTTGTTCTTTTTTAGTGTGTGGGTACAAAATGAACAAACAGAATTTATATTATCAGACTCACTAGTATGTAATATAATACATGATTTTTCTCTTTTAAACCTTTCATTTGATACACGCATACCATCTGTACTTGCACTTTCTAAATCAAATTCCATTGGAACAATATGATCAACAAAATCATCATTATTTATATTTCTGATGTTTTCTATAATACCAGAACAAAATCTTAATGTACATATTTTGCATAAAAGTTCGGTAACTGTAGTGTTCAGCATTGATCGTGAGTATAATTTATAGATTAAGTGAGTATCTGGCAAGAGCCACCCAAATACAATAATGGTGAACGCTAAACTGTCATCTACTACAACTTCATACTTAGGTAACAAATACAAAGGCAATAACTTTTTAAATTTGATATTGTTTTCATTACATGTCATCTCCCATCCACTAAGTTTTAACTTTTGGGTTTTTTTCTGTAAATCAATTAAGTTTGAATAATTTATTCGCTTCTGTGGGACAATATCTTTTACAATACTTATGTGTCTTCTAGGTACCTTTTTTTCTTTTTCATGTGATTTTATGGGTAGGTTAACAGTTGGTAAAGCCTCTAAGCGTAATGATTTCCTTCCAGTTTCTGAAATTCAACATATTTCAATAAAGTAAATATAAATTATCACACAAAAATAAGAACAATACTGAGAAAAAAAGAGAATATGTTATCCACAAATTTATATAAAGCCACAAATACTTTAAGCTTTATGAAATTTATTTGTTTATTGTACTTAAACTTATCAGAGTTGCCCAAAATTAAAGCTTTTAAAATTAAATAACTCAGAGTGTAAAAGCAAATTTAAACAACTAAATATATAAAAGTATCCTTACTTGTCAATTCAATATCTTCTGCTAAAAAATGATTCTCATATATATAAATATTGCCCTTTGAGAGTCTTTCTTTCAAATCTTTGTCAAAGTCTCTATACTGAGTGATAATAGCTAACAATCTCTGTCTCCATTTTTTATAAAAGTCTCCTGTCCTCATAGGAATTCTGAATAAGGTGATATCTTTGTGCTTAATAGATTTTGAAACTGTACATCCTGGTAGACAACAATTTGAACCTGGCATTTTGGATTTATCTTTTAGACTTTTTTTAAATATAAAATATAAAGAAACATTTTAAATTGAATAAAGTTTTTAAACCATAGACAATAGAAAGGAACCAATATTATTTTAATAATAAAGAAAAATAATAATTTTAATATATTAATTTAAAATAAACATCAAAATCTTTATTAATTCGTAACTTTCATTATAAAAGTTTTGTTTAGATTTGATCACGTGACTTAAAAAAAAGCGAACAATAACATACGACAATAGCTTTTCCAGACCAGGGTTTATTTCTATTGACTATGATTTTACTAACGTTATTACAACGATGTAAAATGACGTGGTGACAACGTTACATTTTAGCTAAATGACGTCGGAAAGACGTTAGAGCAACGTTAAATTTGAAGAAAAAAGACGTTATAAGGACGTCAGGCTAACGTTATATTTTAGCTAAAATGACGTTGAGCCAACGTCTTTTCTATCGTTTTTTACACATTGGAATAATAACATATATGAAATAAAGGTCAACGTTATATTAACAATGTTGCGAAACGTTGTAAGAAAAACGCCCCCCTACGTTTTTCTATCATTTTTGATGTTATTTCGGTAATGGGAGGTAAGAGCGAAAAGTTTAAAAGCGAAAGAACGTAAGAGCGAAAAGTTTTAAAGCGAAAGAACGTTAAAGCGAAAAGTTCGAAAGCGAAAACCGGGAAATCGAGTATCGCGATAAGTTCAACAGCAACAACAACTGAAATTTATTGAAATTTTTTCTGATTTTGTTATTATCTCAATATTATATTATAGATTATTTAGCGTTTGGATTTTATTTTTTTTAAACTGTTAATATTTTTATAATTATAAGTTAGTTATAGTTTAGAATTATTTATTTGATATTCTAGCTGAGAGTTATAGTTACAGTTAGAGTTTATTAGATTAAATAAATAAAAAAAACTTATTGTATATAGTTTAGAGTTTATAGTTTTAGTATAGAATTAAATGCATATAGTTTAGAATTATTTATTCATTTGGTATTCTAGCTGAGACTTGAGTTACATTGCGACAAAAAGATATAAAATCTTGCATAAAAATTATAATTGCACTACAAGTTAATAAGTTATAGATAAAAAAAAAAAAGATTTGCATAATTTCTTATTGATATTATTTAATTTTAATTTGTTTTTTGAAATTTATGTATTAGATTTCAACCCAAAAATTGTTTTAATGTTTAAATAAAAATTATTCATAAAATTAGAAAGATACGAATTTATAATGTTCTTTTGTTTTGATTAGGTATGGTGAGTTAGGCTGTCTAGCCTTAATACTTTTAGAAATGATGAGATAGTTAAACCTCAAGAATTGATGTTTAAATTTTGAGTCATAAACTAAAATCCAGGGCAAATATATCAACACAACATATTTGAAAACGAGACATATAAAGGTTAGTTTTTAATATAAATTATTATCTAGTAGATAATAATATCTACAAATATTACTATTTATGTAAATTAAGGCAAGCTTTTATCAATAAACAACTCTTGAAATATAAATGCTTAATTGGTGGTGTGCAAAGACCTTTGCTTAATACAATTGTGCTAAATTTCAGTCTTTGAATATATTGTCAACTTATGATACAATATTAAATTTAAAAGTATTCATCAATTCAAACATCTCTATAAATATTTATGTCTTATCTCTATAAATCTTACATCCATCCCTGCATGGAACACTTTTGCCATATCTTAATCAGATCTTCCAGTAATGGCCTTTCTCTTTTAGACAAGGTACAAAAAGGAATTGTTTTTGCACCTTGACCTTTGCAG